GACCGACTCCTCCAAACCGTTGCGCCGCTCGGGTAAAGACGGGACCCGGCGCACACCGGGCCGACCCAATCGCGGCGCGAAATAAGACGGGGTCCGACGAAGACCGGGACCCGGTTCGTACCACGATACCGGTCCGGAACCCGTGTGGGGCCCTGGCAGCGGCCGCGGGTCTCGCATCTCCCACATGTGGGACCCCGCCACCAGCAGCGGTGTCTCACGTGGGCCCGTCACGCGAGACCCGCCTTTTCCTTTAGGGTATTAGAGATAGGGTATTAGAGATAGAGATAGAGATAGAGATATGGGGAAACTCAGTTCTGTTTGTTCTGTGCACAGTCCCTGGGTGCTGTGCTGTATTGGGTTGCTGGTCCTGACAGGGTAGAAGAATACTGATTTGGTTGTTCACTAGGCTGTTCTTTGTTTAGTGGGATCGGTTTGCCTTGCAGGCAGTAGGTTCATAGAAGGTTTACGTTTAGTTGCTTTTCTGTTGCTTTTAACTCAGTTTGAAGCAGCCTATGGAATGGTTGCGTTCTGTGCTGGTTTTGCAGCCCGGACTTGCACCCGGCCGGAGTCGCAGGGAGCAAGTCAGGGGCTTCCTGGCATTGTTAAAAAGACAACGTTTTCTCAAAAAAAAAAAAAAAAAAAAAAAAAAAGGACAAAAATATGACGCTGTATCTTTCCGTGTTCTAGCTGAAGATTCATTCTCATTTTGCACACATTTGATGAGTAGTGAAGGGAGGCCCTTTGGTTGGAATTCCTCCTACATTACGCATCAATACAGTGACATGAGAAGAAAAAAAAAAAAAAAAAAAAAAAAAAAACACTGATCTCCATTTTATTATTATTACTATTATTATTATTATTATTTTCATTAAAAAAAGGCTCCAGTCTATTTGTGGGGAGCATCACGTGCTGGGAACTGGGCCCAGCGTCCCTTATAACTGGATCAAGAAATCGGGGCCGGGGTCCCCACAGGCTACCCGGGAAAACCATTCACCAAACTACCGGGAGCCTTACCCGGCCTAGCTATAGAGCAATATGTAGCTGGAGGTGGGGGCAACATCCCAATCAACTAGCCAGTCCTGTGGCCGCGGGTCTGACCCCACATCTGTCTTCTTAGCTTAGTCTAAATTGGCCCATACAACCTCTCAGCCTTTCGGCCGTCTGATCTATCAGTCTAACCTAGTCACACGGGCCTAGACTGCAAAACAAGCAAACTTGGCTGACTAACTAACTAAAAAAAAGTGAACTTTAGCTGCAAAAGTGATAGTTGGACATTTCTCCCCCGGGCTCTGTACTTACTTGAACCACCCTCTTTTACTGAAGATATCTCTCTGGGGTATAAACCAAACCTTGAATCCGAATCTCTATTTCAATTATATCTTCGGGCTTAGCCAGGGAGCCAGCGAAATCTTCTGGTCCATGGACACAGAGGCTAGTGGGTTGTTCCCAGCCCACGTCTGTGTGAACCAAACCGGGCCCTTCCTTTGCTTGTCCACCAGAATGGTATATCTCAACTGTATTCGTACTTGTGCTTGTAGCTGTCCTCTGCCAGGGAGGGTTCCTTCAAACAGAGCCTTGTTACGTGATTGCCAGATGGCCTGCATGAGGATTCCTCTGCATGTCTGGCCGACATATCCCCAGCCAGAACTGTAGTTCTGAATTCTGGGGCTCACACCTGTTTCGATCCACTGATCTGTCCATTGAAATGCCTCTTTCGAGAATTCTTTCCAGTGCTTCCGCCACCATTGCCGTATTCTGAGGGAAAAGGGGCAGCTTGTCCAAACGTGTGTCGTGGTTTCCCAGACCCATCTACATCTACTGCATGCCCTAGACACTTCCATCTTCTTCGCAAGAAGCCACTCTGCAGATGGGATGACACACAGGGTCTGTAACCATAGTAAACTTGTAGAAGGTTTTATTATTATTTTTTCGATCTCCATTTCTCGATTGATGCGTGTCATCCTTGCGCAGGGGCCATTTGTTAATCACCTTTCTCTGTATCGTTCCAATTTAACGGATATCCCGAAGGACATTTCACATCTATCTCATTTATGAGAGACACTCGCTCTTGCAGTCATTTATGAGAGACACAATTTAACGGTTTTGGTAATGACAGTAGCTCTTGCAGTCATTGGAGCTATTTGGAAACAAAAGAAAAGGAAAAAAAAAAAAGAAAAAAAAAAGAATGAAATAATGAAACCATAATTACCAACGAGCTGAGCTCAGTTGGTACACCCACAAACTGTTGAAATGCAGACCCAAGTTCGAATCCAGATAAGAGCAGGGGCGAGGTCCCACTAGCAAAGAGGATTGGATTGAACACCTGAATCTGGACTTGTTTGTGGAAAATTGGATTGAACACCTGAATCTGGACGTGTTTGTGGAAAGGTGCAGAATGTCGAGATTGAACTGCTTTTCCGCATCTCTGCTTAAAACACGTCCAGATTCAGGATATTTATCCAACCCTCCTTGCTAGTGGGACCTGTGACCCCAGAGGACCAGAAAATTCGGAATTACCTGAGCCCCATTCAGTTCAATGATTATATCTCAAGGCCGTCGCCCTTTTATGAAAGGAAAAAAATAAATAATAATAATGATATCATAATTCTGAATTGGGACTTGAGGGGTTGCGGGGGTTGGGGGTGGGGTGGGGGAAGAGGGGACGGGTTTCCGCCGCCACCGCTCGCTGCGGTGTGCCCGCGTCTTCCTTTCCGCCAGAGCGCGGGTGCGCTTTTAAATGCGGTCTCCATCGCTGTGAGATTTACAGCGGCGGTGCGGAGCGCGGGGGAAAATCGTGCGGACGTGTCGGCGGATGCGACGAGGAGATCTGCGCTCCGTCAGCGGTTGGGATCGCTGGTGTTCAGTCGCGGGGGGGGGGGGGCTGACGTGTCTGGATCGCAGCTATTGGCGCGCAATTGCTGTGCGACGTGTGCGACGTGTCGCGCCAGGCCGGAAAGCGAGGATCTCGATTTAGAAAAGTGCGCCTCGACAAATTGAAAGGTGAGTTGTACGTACATCTCAGAGAGAGATTTTTTTATTTTTTTTTGTCCTTCGGGACATCTGTTAAAATTGGAACGATACAGAGAAGATTAGCATGGCCCCTGCGCAAGGATGACACGCATAAATCGAGATTTTTTTTTTTTTTTTTTAATGGATCAGCGGATGAAAAACTAAAAAAAAAAAAAAAAAAAAAAAAAA